GATAGAGGTGTATAGTCTGCTAGACGTTTTACTGATAGAGGTGTATAGTCTGCTAGACGTCTTTCTGATAGAGGTGTATAGTCTGCTAGACGTTTTACTGATAGAGGTGTATAGTCTGCTAGACGTCTTACTGATAGAGGTGTATAGTCTGCTAGACGTCTTACTGATAGAGGTGTACATTCTGCTTGGAGTCTTACTGATAGATGTGTATAGACTGCTAGAAGTCTTACTTATAGAGGTGTATAGTCTGCTAGAAGTCTTACTGATAGAGGTGTATAGTCTGCTAGACGTCTTACTGATAGAGGTGTATAGTCTGCTAGAAGTCTTACTGATAGAGGTGTATAGTCTGCTAGAAGTCTTACTTATAGAGGTGTATAGTCTGCTAGACGTCTTACTGATAGAGGTGTATAGTCTGCTAGACGTCTTACTGATAGAGGTGTATAGTCTGCTAGAAGTCTTAATGATAGATGTGTATAGACTGCTAGAAGTCTTACTGATAGAGGTGTATAGTCTGCTAGAAGTCTTAATGATAGAGGTGTATAGTCTGCTAGACGTCTTACTGATAGAGGTGTATAGTCTGCTAGACGTCTTACTGATAGAGGTGTATAGTCTGCTAGACGTCTTACTGATAGAGGTGTACATTCTGCTTGGAGTCTTAATGATAGATGTGTATAGACTGCTAGAAGTCTTACTTATAGAGGTGTATAGTCTGCTAGAAGTCTTACTTATAGAGGTGTATAGTCTGCTAGAAGTCTTACTTACAGAGGTGTATAGTCTGCTAGACGTCTTACTGATAGAGGTGTATAGTCTGCTAGACGTCTTACTGATAGAGGTGTATAGTCTGCTAGACGTCTTACTGATAGAGGTGTATAGTCTGCTAGACGTCTTACTGATAGAGGTGTATAGTCTGCTAGAAGTCTTACTTACAGAGGTGTATAGTCTGCTAGACGTCTTACTGATAGAGGTGTATAGTCTGCTAGACGTCTTACTTATAGAGGTGTACATTCTGCTTGGAGTGTTAATGATAGAGGTGTATAGTCTGCTAGACGTCTTACTGATAGAGGTGTATAGTCTGCTAGACGTCTTACTGATAGAGGTGTATAGTCTGCTAGACGTCTTACTGATAGAGGTGTATAGTCTGCTAGACGTCTTACTGATAGAGGTGTACATTCTGCTTGGAGTCTTAATGATAGATGTGTATAGACTGCTAGAAGTCTTACTTATAGAGGTGTATAGTCTGCTAGAAGTCTTACTTACAGAGGTGTATAGTCTGCTTGACGTCTTACTTATAGAGGTGTATAGTCTGCTAGACGTCTTACTGATAGAGGTGTACATTCTGCTTGGAGTCTTAATGATAGATGTGTATAGACTGCTAGAAGTCTTACTTATAGAGGTGTATAGTCTGCTAGACGTCTTACTGATAGAGGTGTATAGTCTGCTAGAAGTCTTACTGATAGAGGTGTATAGTCTGCTAGAAGTCTTACTGATAGAGGTGTATAGTCTGCTAGAAGTCTTACTTATAGAGGTGTATAGTCTGCTAGAAGTCTTACGTATAGAGGTGTATAGTCTGCTAGACGTCTTACTTATAGAGGTGTATAGTCTGCTTGACGTCTAACTGATAGAGGTGTATAGTCTGCTAGACGTCTAACTGATAGAGGTGTATAGTCTGCTAGACGTCTTACTGATAGAGGTGTATAGTCTGCTAGAAGTCTTACTTATAGAGGTGTATAGTCTGCTAGAAGTCTTACTTATAGAGGTGTATAGTCTGCTAGACGTCTTACTGATAGAGGTGTATAGTCTGCTAGACGTTTTACTGATAGAGGTGTATAGTCTGCTAGACGTCTTTCTGATAGAGGTGTATAGTCTGCTAGACGTTTTACTGATAGAGGTGTATAGTCTGCTAGACGTCTTACTGATAGAGGTGTACATTCTGCTTGGAGTGTTAATGATAGAGTTGTATACTCTGCTAGACGTTTTACTGATAGAGGTGTATAGTCTGCTAGAAGTCTTCCTGGTAGATGTGTATAGTCTGCTGGACGTTTTACTGATAGAGGTGTATAGAAATCTTACTAATGCTGGTGTATAGTCTGCTAAACGTTTTACTGATAGAGGTGTAAAGAAACCTCCACTTTCCAGACAATTGCTGTTATGGAGGTATTTTAATAATGAAAGTATGTAATTCTAAAAGAGATATTTTAAAAGGGATATTAAAACGTACTCAAGATTCGTTTACGGGACATTTAATACAGGACTGTCCGGATTAGCGGGTATTCCCTTAATGACATTTAATTCCATCGCCTGTAGTTCTACACATGGCGACTGGGTTCCTCTGAGTATATCACTAGCATACAAATTACATCCTCGCCCAAGGACAATAGGGAAGTGTCCATTGCTGTTGTTTAACGGTCAGTGGTTTGGAATGCAATTGACATATAGTAATGTCAGTTGAATTTAGATGTAGGTCAGTGAATGAAAAAATACAATCAGTCGAATCAATTAATTACTAATGGCAAGTATTAACACAACCGCTCTTATCGCATTAAACGAGCCGAAGTAGTTGTTTGAAAATATCACGATATGGCTGAAATACTGCCGATGTGACGTTAAATATTAACTCACTCACTGTTTGAAAATAGTCTCCAATTTGAGAAACCAGGCCTTGTAATTAGTGAGTGCGGGTGGCTGCTATAACGACAGCTGTCACTTTCTCACCGACGTGGATTACGTGAAATCAGCATGCTACAGACATCGTAGCCGCAAAACCGACTGTGTGCGTTATGTAGTGTTGGCGCCTTCATCCATAAAAGATCTCAGTGCAAGTGAATTCTCTTTTTTAAAAACCCACAAAATTATTCGTAAAAAGTCATTCATTGACATATTACGAAGCGTTGACGTGTCTTGTGTGTAAATGCGATGAATGCTTGCATCTGGTGCGACGAAAATGTACGAAGAGGGAGTTATTAATTATATAAATATATTAAATTGTTTACTTAAACGTGTTTGTCCACGGTGTTTACCATTCCAATGATTACTTTGTACTGGCCAATCAGCAAAACGCATTTTCCTAAGTATATGACAGTCCATCAAACCATGCGTCACTCCATGCGTTATGATAATTGCATGTTGCTCTGTATTAACAGAATTAACAAATGTCTCTACATTAATAATTATTTGACTTATATGCAAACATGTTCTTCAAGTTTGTCAATTTACCAAAGGTCACAGACCCCTGCTTATTTAAATGACTTGTCTCAGGGAGGCAACTTGCTCAACTCAATCAAGGTTTCTTGGCCTTTTTTTCACGATTACGCAATTACTACTGTGTGAAGCTCAGCCCTGAACAATCAAGTAACTTCTATCAACAGTGTATTGAACATTGCATCATGCCATACTACCGGGTACCCGTTCTACATGTGGGTAGCTCATGGGAGTGCAGGATAGCACGCACAAGAACACCCAAGAAGAAATTATCATTTGTGTGATTACGAGGCCATCGTGTATGTCAGGATTTGGACTTGCTCCACGCTGTACTGAATGAGGAGTCCATGGATGTATAGTAATTCTATCCTTATAATAGGCAAGTCTAGATAAGCGGACAGTACATCAAAGGACGCCAGTCTTTTATAGGGACAACTTGTTTTTATTATGTCTATATTCTAGAAATTATGATTGAGACTAACAGTTAAAACACATCTGTGACGTCATCCTATTGTTTGAACTATTTTTCAGAAATGGAGTGTTGTTTGTCAACTCTACTATACATTATCTTGAACCAACATTTGAATTAATTTCCACTTGGAATAGACGGAACTATTTTTTACATTTATTTTTTACATTTAAATGAATAATTACATATTTTAAAATATATATATCTTTGTTCGGGGCTCTATATTTCCTATTTTTCCCGTCAGCATGTATTGACAATGTGCAAGCGATTGATAAATACTAGTTTAGGACCCAACGAAATTATGAAGAGGCATAAATCATACATTGTAAATGTCAGCTCGCGACGGAGCCTGGCGCACGTGCAACAGCGGCAGCGAACGCATTCCTCGTGCATCACGCAGGGCGACTCACGCAGTAAAAATACAGACAACAAAGAGTTCTGTTTATTTTTCAAATGTTTTCCACAACATAATATTTTGTCAAAGTGTAAAAGTAGGGATGAGTTTTAAGTAGGGGAATATCCTCGTAATTCTCCATTCCTTACTCGGACATTCCCTCTACTTATTGCCTTAGAGACTAGTGCAAGATTATTTTCGACAGATCATGTTTCCAACACTAACTGTAGATTGCTCTAAAACATATTACCACTGAGTGTTATTTCCAGGAAAATATTACAAGCAAGGTGAAATTTTTGAAAAATATTTATCAAGCCTGTTATTTCAGCATATATGTGTTTCCCACGGTTTGATTTCTTGTTTCTTTTTTTTTTATTATTACTTAATATGGACACCCAACAGGAAACAAAGTGTTCCTATATTCTATAAATAACTGAAAATATTTATTAGATAATTTTCACAAAAGGTCAACTGTTACAATCCTCAAACCCTAAAAGTCGACTAAAATGTGTATCGGATGGCCAGGCTTTGGGTCTTGGGTGATTGGCTTCGAGCATTGACCATGCTATCACCATGGGCAGCTGGTTGGTGTTCCAAGACTGGTACGTTGAAGGGGTTATGATATCAGGGTAGTAGTACCAACTGCGATATCCTTGTCAATGTCGCCCAATTCGCTGTACAGAGAAGCACCCCTCGTTGCCAGGGGGTGGGTTCGAATGCAAGTTACTCCAAAACTCAGAACTATGCTGGGCATTCGATGTTATTCTGACAGGCCATCGTGTAACCGAAGTGGTGTTCAAAGTGGCGTTAAACTCAACTTACACACTCATTCTTTTGAGGTACCGATCATTTGATATTCCACCCCACCCCCGCCCCCAGAATATCAAATGGTCGGTTCCCAACTTGAATAAAGACTAAATCGAAGGTTCATATCAATGTTTATTTAAATGAAACTCGCTGTCCAGCAGCTGTGTTAGAGGTGTAACAATTGTATACTATATAACAAACATGATGGACCATCAGTTTTTATCTCAACATGGGTTATGTCGCTGTGCTCTTTCTCATCTCCTACATGTTGTGGGCACGACAATGGTATTAAAGCAAATGCGACCATACCGACATCGAGAGGACACTGCTGAGTCAAGCACGTATCAAAGACAAACGACACTCGATTATAAATTATCATACAAATTATCATATAGATTCTCATAAGGCATTTGATATAATGAAGGATATATTCAACTGGTGGCATCATGGCTCTGCCACACGTGTAGAGATCATATAGACACCGAGTTTCTCAGTTCATATCACAGACCGAGATCATAAGTTCATATCACACACGGAGATCATCCGTTCGTATCACATACCGAGATCATAAGTTCATATCACAGACCGAGATCATAAGTTCATATCACATACAGAGATCAATACTTGTCGTCACAGGCCGAGATACTTCCTTATCACAGATCAGGCTAACTGTTTATGTATCACAGCTATGTTAATCTTGTGCGAAGTCATTTTATCACATGTCCATTTGGTGTCATGTCCCTGAGCATGACAAGAAGGCACCACATGGTTATGTACCTGATATGTCGGTTACAATCTGAATATCTGCTTGATAATGTTTGTGTTCTTTTTCCTGAACTTGAGAGCGGAGAAGACGACATGCTGAAAGACCTCCTTCAAACCCTTGTGGTCGCGAGCCGAGCACTCCACATAGCAGTCAGCACCAATGTCCTTCGCCAACTGGAAACCCTCGTCCGTGGAAACCTCGCTGTCTTCATTCCCGACTCGGAGGTCTATCTTGGTGCCCACGAGGATGACCGGTCTCTTCTGTTTGGTGTGTTTGGAGTGTCTCTTCAGTTCAGGCATCCACACGTCATTGATGCTGGCCAACGTTTCCCGGTCACAGGTGGAGAAACACAGAAGCAGGACTTCACTCTCACGGTGTGTGAAGGAACGGAGATTCTCAAAGTGTTTCTGGAAATAAGAAAAGCAAAGGTAAATGTATGACTCTTGTTGCATTACGACTGACAATATAATTGTTATAATTCTTTTGAGAATATCTTAGCCATGCTGTCGTAGCCTAGCACTGCAGGAAGTATACATTTTCTATAACGAGTTTGAATCAATAGCGAACACAATCTTGTTTCTCTAAAGAAAGAATTGTCATACATATAATACATCAGATACCAATCGATAGATCATCGTTCAAATATTTAGCTCACCTCTCCTGCTGTGTCAAACATGCTGATAACAAACTCCTCTCCAGCCACATTCAGTGGAACGACATAGTTGTCAAACACTGTGGCTTCATAGTTCTCCTTGAAGGATTTCTGGGCATAGCTCTCGGAGATGCTGGTCTTTCCGACCATCCCGTCTCCCATGATGGCACAGGATATGTATTTTTGCGAATCAGCCTTCATATTGCGACCCTTCATAGTAATGTAGTTAAGCGCGAGTGGCTCTCAGTCAACGTGTGCCAATTCTTGCCAAGCAAACTTGCTTATATGGACAGAACTGACCAATTACGAGCAAGAACACTCACGCCACGGTTGTCACGTGGTTTAACGATGCCAGGAGACTGCCAGATGGACAAGGTTGCTGTATTGGAAACACGCGCAATGTAAATCATCATGGACTCTTACAAGGTGTTATTGGTATTTACTTGTCTGGGGTGTTTGGAGCTTCTGTTATTAGAGTTAGGCGACGTGGCTACTATCTTCCCGTTGAAGACAGGCATGTACAAACCACTTATACAATCCTAGCTTGCTTCAAGACGTTCAAAGTGAGTGAGTGAGTGAGTATTGTTTTATGCCGCGTTTAGCAATAATCGAGCAATATCACTGCGGGGGACACCAGAAATTGGCTTCACACATTGTACACATGTAGGGAATTGAACCCGGTCTTCGGCGTGACGAGTAAATGCTTTAAACACGAGACTATCATCGTTCAAAGAGCTTTGGTTGGTCTTTTATGAAAACTTTCATCGAAATTTTGGTAACGCATTCATTTCTAATGGTGATAGAAAAAAACGGTTTAAAGAACTATAAATCTTTTGAGCCGAGTTTTAAAATATCTGAGAAATGTTGCTGCTTGATTTATGGTATTCCATTCGCACCATATATATTTTTTCGGAAACCTTGAAAGTGACATGGTTCTGTTTTCTAATCCCGGAAATAAGTGGGCAGTTGGCAAACTAGACATAAACAATCTGTCCGTATCATCTGAGTCATGTGTATTGACTAGCTATTGTCGTTCAGGAATATCATCGACACGAAGTTGCTGATACAAAATGGATCAGCCTCAAGATACGCAGTCTTGTGGCCAACCAAGGTGATTGCATGGCGCTTCAGTAACTAATTCCATCAGTCACTGTGTTAGTTGTTAGCGGCGCGACACTGAACGGGGAAAACACCTAAGCGAGTCTGGTTTAACGGATCAGTCTGCAATGTTCAGTCTGTATGACGTGTACATAATCGAGACTGAAAAGTCAAACAGGACTGATAAAACGTCAACGACAGAGAATCAGTCTTGATATTCAGCCGAAACAGATTCCATTGGGCGTGAAAGGCAGACTAGTGATGGAATTAGTGATGAAGCCAGGTATTCGCGAAATGGTTAAGCAAGTTCTGCTCTACCGGTAGAACTCGACACTCACACAATTTGCATAAATAAGCAAACGTTTGTTTGTTTCCTGAAACCGAACAACAGGAGTCCTGCCATATGGCAGCATGAAACATGCCCCCACAATCGCTGAACGCTGACATGTTGGACAGTGACTTCTACATCATATTATTGGTTTGTTTGTTTGTTGTTTAACGCCGCACTCAGCAATATTCCATCTATATGACGGCAGTCTGTAAATAATCGAGTCTAGACCAAACAATCCAGTGATTGACATCATGAGCATCGATCCACGCAATTGGGAAATGATAACATGCATCAACCATGTCAGTGAGCCTGACCACCCGATCCCGTCAGTCGCCTCTCACGACAAGCATAGCCGCCTTTTACGGCAAGCATGGGTTGCTGAAGACGTATTCTACTCCGGATCTTCACGGGTCTACATCATATTAAGATCGTCAGAGTGATGTTAGACATTGACCTCTACATCATATTAAGATCGTCAGAATGATGTTAGACATTGACCTCTACATCATATTAAGATCGTCAGAGTGATGTTAGACATTGACCTCTACATCATATTAAGATCGTCAGAGTGATGTTAGACATTGACCTCTACATCATATTAAGATCGTCAGAGTGATGTTAGACATTGACCTCTACATCATATTAAGATCGTCAGAGTGATGTTAGACATTGACCTCTACATCATATTAAGATCGTCAGAGTGATGTTAGACATTGACCTCTACATCATATTAAGATCGTCAGAGTGATGTTAGACATTGACCTCTACATTATATTAAGATCGTCAGAGTGATGTTAGACATTGACCTCTACATCATATTAAGATCGTCAGAGTGATGTTAGACATTGACCTCTACATCATATTAAGATCGTCAGAGTGATGTTAGACATTGACCTCTACATCATATTAAGATCGTCAGAGTGATGTTAGACATTGACCTCTACATCATATTAAGATCGTCAGAGTGATGTTAGACATTGACCTCTACATCATATTAAGATCGTCAGAGTGATGTTAGACATTGACCTCTACATTATATTAAGATCGTCAGAGTGATGTTAGACATTGACCTCTACATCATATTAAGATCGTCAGAGTGATGTTAGACATTGACCTCTACATCATATTAAGATCGTCAGAGTGATGTTAGACATTGACCTCTACATCATATTAAGATCGCCAGAGTGATGTTAGACATTGACCTCTACATCATATTAAGATCGTCAGAGTGATGTTAGACATTGACCTCTACATCATATTAAGATCGCCAGAGTGATGTTAGACATTGACCTCTACATCATATTAAGATCGTCAGAGTGATGTTAGACATTGACCTCTACATCATATTAAGATCGTCAGAGTGATGTTAGACATTGACCTCTACATCATATTAAGATCGCCAGAGTGATGTTAGACATCGACCTCTACATAATATTAAGATCGTCAGAGTGACTTTGGACATTGACTTATACATCATATTAAGATCGTCAGTGTGACTTTGGACATTGACTTATACATCATATTAAGAACGTCAGAGTGACTTTGGACATTGACTTATACATCATTTTAAGAACGTCAGAGTGACTTTGGACATTGACTTATACATCATGTTCTAACCGTCAGTGTGACTTTGGACATTGACTTATACATCATATTAAGATTGTCAGTGTGACTTTGGACATTGACTTATACATCATAATAAGATCGTCAGTGTGACTTTGGACATTGACTTATACATCATATTAAGATCGTCAGTGTGACTTTGGACATTGACTTATACATCATATTAAGATCGTCAGTGTGACTTTGGACATTGACTTATACATCATATTAAGAACGTCAGAGTGACTTTGGACATTGAGTTATACATCATATTAAGAACGTCAGAGTGACTTTGGACATTGACTTATACATCAAGTTCTAACCGTCAGTGTGACTTTGGACATTGACTTATACATCATATTAAGATCGTCAGTGTGACTTTGGACATTGACTTATACATCATATTAAGATCGTCAGTGTGACTTTGGACATTGACTTATACATCATGTTCTAACCGTCAGAGTGACTTTGGACATTGACTTATACATCATGTTCTAACCGTCAGTGTGACTTTGGACATTGACTTATACATCATATTAAGAACGTCAGAGTGACTTTGGACATTGACTTATACATCATGTTCTAACCGTCAGAGTGACTTTGGACATTGACGTATTCATCATGTTCTAACCGTCAGAATGATGTTAACCTGCATACAGGTAGTTCAACTGCACTTGGTTCAGGCCTGCTTTCATATTTTTTAATTCTTTTGTTTGTTTGTTATTTAACGCCTCACTCAACAATAGTTTCTCATTATATAATCTTGTAGGCGAACTCGACTGTAGGCTAACTCGAAAGTAGGCTAACTCGAATGAAGGCTAACTCGCTCCTCCGTGTTGATGACCAGACGTAGATAAGATCTCCTTTCCCTTTAATACTTGTTTGAACCCTACCCTGTAATGCTGGTCAATACAACGGACATAACTGACTCCTGACTGAAGTCGCATATCGCTATGATTTACAGTACATGTCAATTGCAGGTTTAAAATGACATCTCCAGAACGTGAATTGGATATCAATTAGTACAGTCACAGCAATTCAGGTCAAGGTCATTTATTGACGTCGGAAGTCGTTGTTACAGTAATCGCCTAATTACGCCGCACGTCCACCGACACTGAATAGAAATCGTCAAAACATTCAAATATGCAAATTTGCATCCGTCAAAACAAAACGATGACATTTGAAATGCAATGAGCATCAAATAGCCTCAAGGAATCGTGTATGCGTGAGTGAGTGAATGCGTGAGTGGGGTTTTACGCCGCTTTCAAATATTTAAGGAATATCAAGGCGGGCGCCACCAAAAATGGGCTACACACAAACACACATTGTACCCATATTCTCACCCGTTCCACAGGCTACCAATACGTGGCTTAGCTTCACAATTTTTACATCATATTTAAAAACTTAACGCTTCAGAGTGGCGTATTATAATCAGAACGCTGTCCAGAAATAACTAATGGTTCATTCCTATGAGGAAGATGCACCGCAGTTAACCACGATGTAGCGAACGATGACTACATTGGGCAATAGATTTGTTAGCTTTTGCCAATTATCAACAACCTATAAACATTTGATTTAAGTGTATTTTCAACTGTTCCCACTTAGTTTTCCATTTCAAACAACTGTTCATATTTATATTGATATGCACTATACAAAATCTATAATCATATATTATATTAAATGCCGTCAGAGATTTATCTAGAAACTAAATGCGCATTATATTTTCCTCTTCATTAGCCCTTAATGAGTTAAAAATAGAAACAACCTTTGAAAAGACATAACATCATTAAATATAAGGAAGAACTATTTTAATTTAGGAACTCTTGCCTTTGCTCTTAAGACCTGGTGATGGATATATGCACCTGGAAACAACACCAAGACACCACAGTTTGTCCCTTACTTCCAAATTAAAATAAAGACAGAAGCTTTTACTTTCACTTTCAATTTTATTTCATGTATAAAACATTAATGCGTATAAAATGGAAATTGCATATTGTTTGCACAAACGGTACTGGGCACTGGAATGCCGAGATATAAACTTGAACATAATTCATACCCACGTGACCCTTGTAAATGTAGTCACGTTGTGAAAACGGAATAACGTCACTCGCCTGTTCCCATGGATGCCACAGAAAACTTCGATAAGTGGTGTCTTCTCTGAAAATTGTCTCTGATTGCAACTTAAACTTTGATAATACAGTGTGTTTTGATATCTAATATCAAAATTCGATAAACAGCATCACCACTTGCCAAGGTGATTGAAAATGTCGCACAAATAGGATCACAGGAAGTTACATCAAGTACAAAACGCAAGCACAAATTGGTCTGCCCATATCGGCATCATACTGATGAAGGCACGCACTGGTTTACTAAATCTGCAAAATATCACAGTTTGAGATTTCAAAGTCACTATTGGCTTTAGTGGCGCAGACAATACAGTCATTTTATAGGAACATTGTTCGCGACTGCCCATTTCAACGTCTGAATATCTTCTTGATAATGTTTGTGTTCTTTTTTCTGAACTTGAGAGCGGAGAAGACGACATGCTGAAAAACCTCCTTCAAACCCTTGTGGTCGCGAGCCGAGCACTCCACATAGCAGTCAGCACCAATGTCCTTGGCCAACTGGACACCCTCGTCCGTGGATACCTCGCTGTCTTCATTCCCGAAACGGAGATCAATTTGGGTGCCCACGAGGATGACCGGTCTCTTCTGTTTGGTGTGTTTGGAGTGTCTCTTCAGTTCAGGCATCCACACGTCATTGATGCTGGCCAACGTTTCCCGGTCACAGGTGGAGAAACACAGAAGCAGGACTTCACTCTCACGGTATGTGAAGGAACGGAGATTCTCAAAGTTTTTCTGTTAAACGAAACAAAAAGGGTAAACATATATTGTTTCTCAAGATCCATGAACATACATGTATGCGCTTAAACGTTCTGTAATAAATTAAGTAGAATGTATATTATATCTATAATACATTTGGCACAATGCCACTGTCAAGCTCATGTAAATGCAACAGTGAGCTACTCATAGGTAGTCAATGATCCATAATACAGACATTAGTACAGCAAAAAACTAGACTCTTTTAAACTAAAAGTGAACATATTTCAGGCATTATTGTCAGCTCACCTTTCCTGCAGTATCGAACATGCTGATGACAAACTCCTCTCCAGCCACATTCAGTGGAACGACATAGTTATCAAACACTGTGGCTTCATAGTTCTCCTTGAAGGATTTCTGGGCATAGCTCTCGGAGATGCTGGTCTTTCCGACCATCCCGTCTCCCATGATGGCACAGGATATGTATTTTTCTTCATCGTTCTTCATATTGACGTTTTTCATGTTCCTGGTGTAGTCTGTGCATCAACACCTGATGCCGTCTTATACGTTGGTGGTCATATATAGACTATTTCATCCAATCAGAATAGAGCTTTGCGCATAGCTGGATCGTGAGTGGTGCAGAGCTATCTGTCACTCAGATCTAACAAGCTGATGTTGAAATGTAACCGAAATCGTTAGTTTGATTCCCTGGAATAGCAAAATTGAATATATTCCAGCGTGTGCGGTATTTCTAATGATGACCTCTTTACTGGAGTTTAAATATGTCAGTATGAAACATGTAGCTTGTGTCCTGAAGATTTTTATTAAAATATCTAATTTGTGGGTACAAGGGTGTCTTCGCAGTCAAGATTCCATTCACACAGGCAATTTTCCACTGTAACAGTCAATCTTCCACTCCTTCTGACTGTCAACTTTTCAATCTCAAAGTCAACCTGTGGCTGTAAACCTACCAATATGAATATCTAGTCAACCCACATCTCTGACAGTCAACTTTTCAATCTCAAAGTCAACCTGTGGCTGTAAACCTACCAATATGAATATCTAGTCAACCCACATCTCTGACAGTCAACTTTTCAATCTCAAAGTCAACCTTTTCAATCTCAAAGTCAACCTGTGGCTGTAAACCTACCAATATGAATATCTAGTCAACCCACATCTCTGACAGTCAACTTTTCAATCTCAAAGTCAACCTGGGGCTGTAAACCTAACAATATCAATATCTAGTCAACCAACATCTCTGACAGTCAACTTTTCAATCTCAAAGACAACCTGTGGCTGTAAACCTACCAATATCAATATCTAGTCAACCCACATCTCTGACAGTCAACTTTTCAATCTCAAAGTCAACCTGTGGCTGTAAACCTACCAATATGAATATCTAGTCAACCCACATGTCTGACAGTCAACTTTTCAATCTCAAAGACAACCTGTGGCTGTAAACCTACCAATATCAATATCTAGTCAACCCACATCTCTGACAGTCAACTTTTCAATCTCAATGTCAACCTGGGGCTGTAAACCTACCAATATCAATATCTAGTCAACCCACATCTCTGACAGTCAACTTTTCAATCTCAAAGTCAACCTGTGGCTGTAAACCTACCAATATGAATATCTAGTCAACCCACATCTCTGACAGTCAACTTTTCAATCTCAAAGTCAACCTGTGGCTGTAAACCTAACAATATCAATATTTACTCAGCCCTTTTCTTTAACAGTCACCTTAAACACCTTTGGGTTCCATATTCGCTGCCATATCAGCCAGATAACACATTGAAACCACCAGGAATATATTACTCAATACCTGTTACAAGTTTGGGGACCAACCCTACTCCTGACATGATACGGGGCTTTTAATAAGGTTCAGGCACTAGTTTAAACTAGTCGATAAGACGGCGTCTATTTTTCACCTCTGGCGTCTTAGTTCACAGTACTTTACAATGACAAATATGAAAGCATGAAGAGTTCAACCAATGGCAACTTACAAGCTGAACCGTAGTTGATTTGGCCACTGAACACGAGACGCCTCTCACCACATGTAGTTTTATAGAAACAGGCAGCGTCCAGAAGCTGATCAGCGGATATCGATTTTCCATCAGAAAATTTCTCCCGGCAAGAGAGACTCATTGCGTTCAACGGCTTGTACTACCTCCACATCAGTGCTGACAACAAAATAATAACTGGGATCTTTGTAGGATTTTACGACTCTTCACAGAATGCGGTCGTTCTCGTGTACCGATTCTCGCAGACCTACTTGTACATTTCTTCACCAATTATGTTTTCTATGCAGCCAAACACATTACACCTGAACGTGATGCGATATGATGCGTTCAAATAGGTGAAGCTGGCACTTCGGAATTAACGGTCTCAGTATGAATGCAGACGTATACATAACGTATTGACACAGTGGGTCTCATTTGTGAAACTGATTCGAATAGATGATTTCCATTCGAACTTTCTGAACGTAATAATTACCTTACACCGTGTGGTAGAACATAACGCTTACCGTGGGTGGTCCATGAGGGCCTCCGCAGAAAATGTGTCCGCAACTTTACATAATATGAGCAACTGGTTCATGGCAGCAGACGCGATTTGATTTCCGAGTCCTTTTGGGTCAGAACATTGTTGTGATCTTCTTTGAGTATCTGATTTAGCTCGATCACAAGCAATCTAAGTTATTACGACTTTGTACCAGAGTCCTCTCAAACACTCAAAAGCTGCTCTACAGGTTAAATGTTCGAAAATGGCTTTCTGCCTCACTCGTCAAGAACCGTCATTGATATACAAATGTATCACATGAAAATAAAATTAATGACCAAATATCAACCAGCCACTTATGTGTGTATTTGATTGTGATTGGGCTGAAAACGTCATTCGGATAGGGCGTTTGACAAGTTACAAGATAATATGACCACCAGGAGTGTGACACACTTGACTCATTTGTGCAACCTAAAACAGATCCATAGTTTTATACAACCAGGACTTGTGTCAGAATGAAACAATGAGACCAATAAGTACATAAACCAAACCGCTATTAATGTTCTGGCTCAAGATTATATTGCTGGGCGCTATTCTGGCTTCACTCGCATATATACTCACGCATCTAAAGATATATCAAGAGGTCGTGCAGCAGGAGCTGATTTCATCTATGTTTCAACGTCATGGCTGTTTATTGGTCTTTTCAGTCGGACTGATGTCAAAACTTCAAGGTTTGAAATGGGTCGATGAAAACAATCATGAAGCAATATAATCCACTGATTCCATGACAGTTTTTGGGACGATTGCATCTGATGTATCAGGAACTAGATATGATATTGTATATGCAATATTGAAATCAGACGCTCTTCTTCGTCAAAGTATATACATTGTGATAGTGTATGGGTCCCCGCTCGTATTGGTCTGGTTTGCTCATGACAGAACTAATATTGAGATCACACAGTTTAAGTCATGTCCAAGAGTATTGACAATTACTTTTTCGCACCCTTGCGACCCGTGACGATCTGGAGTTGGATAGGTCTTCAGCAATCCATGCTTGCCGTAAAAGGCGACTACGCTTGTCGTAAAAGGCGACTAACGGGATCGGGTGGTTAGTCTCACTGACTTGGTTGATGCATGTCATCGATCCCAATTGTGTGGATCGATGGTAATGATATTAATCACTGGATTGTCTGGTCCAGACTCGATTATTTACAGACCGCCGTCATATAGCTGGAATATTGCTGAGTGCGGCGTTAAACAACAAACCAAGCAACCAAACCGCACCCTTGCACTCTGTGTGATAAGCGTTGTGGAATACTGGCACAATTCGATGCATGCAAACTTCGTGCCCTTCATTTCAGACTTACCGAAACATTCACAGGCGCAGACGAAAGGATGACGTCGTATTTGCCACTGTGAACTTTATACGTACAAGTCAATTATTGATAAGGATGTTTCTACAAATTGTTAAAATTGTAATGGAATCACTAATGAGACTTATGAAATACAGTTTGGGTATATTATAAAATCTTTTCCCTTTCTATGCTTATAGGGCCAAATATACAAAATGGGTCCGTTCAAAAGACAATTTACAAATATGTCACTAACACAGGTAACACGGCATTATACAGTTCTAATCTCCTCTCTATTGACCAGATATCATTGTCGCTTGTCTGCACGTGATATGGAATCTGTTGCTTTAAAACTTGTTCATTTCGGCAGATTTAATAATAATGATATTAATAATAATCAGTAAAGATGATGCTCTTACTTGCTATCAGCATTTCTTTCCCTACTGTTGACCATATACAATCAATTAAACATTTAACAACTCAAATCTCAATTACTGGTTTCTGCTTCTTCTACTAATGATGAGGAAGTCGCTACTACTACTACTACTACTACTACTACTACTACTACTACTACTACTACTCCTTCTACTACTACTACTACTCCTACTACTACTACTCCTACTACTACTACTACTACTGCTACTTCTACTACTACTACTACTACTACTACTACGACTACTCCTACTACTACTACTACTACTACTACTACTACTACTACTACTACTGCTACGACTACTACTACGACTACTACTACTACTACTACTACTACTACGACTACGACTACGACTACTACTACTACTACTACTACTACTACTGCTGCTGCTGCTGCTGCTGGACCACCGTTGCCCCATTCACTCTAGTAAGAGGCTGCTATTGTCTGTCACTGTAAGAGACTATACTGTATAACGCAAACGTCGTAATCACGTTAGTGCCATGCACGGCGGTGTGGGGTATGGTGCGGATTAACACATTGCGGATTAACAAATCTCAGGTACGTATGATACCAGCTGAATTACATAAGCCTCCCTAATAGCAATTGCCTGAAGTTTCCGGACCTTTTTGAACATTTGGTATGATCACTTTTTCAGAGTGATTCAAAACACATGCGCATGATATATTCGGAATCGTACAATGGCTTGGTGAAGATATCTTATGATTATGGAAAGGGATGCTTTCGCTTTTTATTTACAGGATCCGGAAAAAGGAAGTTTCACTGTAATCTATTAAAGGAGAAGATCAATATCTATGGCAAACTAAGTTCATGTACTTAAGGCGAAAGGACTAATAGTTCGTTCGATTAGTCGCTGCTGTTTTATCAGCCTCGTTTCAAAACATCCAAAGATAACTTTTGTTTCTGAGCTAATCTTGTCACCAGAAAGTATCGAACCCACACACAGAACAGATACAATGGAGGATTTACAGCCCTAGTCTAGACCCCATGCCAACAAGAGCTCGTCCGTTTAGAAAGGTAAATCATCTTTGATCATCTAGGTTCTGTCGCCCGTCGCGGAAAGCAGGTATTGATGGAGTGTCCTGAACTATTTCAAGAGACATAATTACATCCGCAAATAAGATTTATTGCAGCTAGTCTTGGTACAAACAGTGTATTTACAAGTAGGTCGGGGTTTTACCAGACACGTAATACGTTCACTGGCGTTTCTACCATGAAGGTAT